CATGTCATTGCGGGCAAGCGCTGAATCGTTCGATTACCTTTTCAAATTTGTAATGCAACATTTCAGCGCTGACATGCTCGCTTACCTTTTCGAATTTGTAATGCAACATATCAGCGCTGACATGTTCGCTTACTTTTTCGAATTTGTAATGCAACATATCAGCGCTGACATGTTAGCTTACCTTTTCGAATTTGTAATGCAACATATCAGCGCTGACATGTTCGCTTACCTTTTAAATTTTACCTATGCTATTGATTTTTAAATAAAATACTATAAATTTTTTTGGATAAATTATATTTTATATTTATGTTTTATACAATTAAAATATTAATATTTACATAAAAAAATATAACATACTTATATAGATGAATATTTTTCTGGAAATTGTTACTAACACCTTGAAGAGATTTCCAGACTCGACTCGATCACTTGTTCCGGCTTACCATCTGTACTTAAAGCATCTGTAAATACAAAAGTATGTTATTGTATACGCTAAAATTAATTATGTACAATATACCATACCAAAAAGTGCTGCTGTCACATTCTCTAATGCTCTTAAGAACTTCTTGCCTTGGGTACCATTCTCCAAAATTCCAGGAAATTTTTCGCGTAATTGATTGTTTTTTAATAACGCGTCTCATTGATGCAGTCTATAAATAACGTAATTGATGAAAAGAAATGTATGAATTAGTAAAATTGTTACATGTGAATATATTAATAAGTAGAAATTGAAAGTAAGAAACATATATAATTTAACTTACAACTACTTCAACGGCAGTGATTTCTTCATTAAATTGAATTAAATTCTCCTCAGTTTGAATTGTAAAATTTTCCAATTGAAACAGCTGACTACATGACTACAGCTGATTACCCCTTGCTTTAGAATGACTGCATTCGCAGCACATTGGTCAATTAATCGTTCTTGACGCAGTAGCTTCTACATAATACAAAACAAAAATTACAATTATCATTTTAAATATATTTACTTAATTTTGCATATACTTACAGTGAGTTTATGTTAAATTACAAATTATATTTTATTTATATTTTTGTTTTTTATTTGATTTTAAAAATTAAAAATTGTTCACTGCACGCACTTCACTAAAATCAAAAGCAGACTAAATGTATACAATGTAGGCAAAACAAGAAATTCTTAACTCATATGCTTTTCTTCTTCATTCTTTTATAATTTCAACCCCGAAATTGCCTATGTCAAACACAAATGTCGAAAACAAAGAAAAATAAAAACGAAGAGCTATTACCTCCTCGCTTACTTTTTCAGCGCTGGCATAATGGTGCCGCTGGGTACAGTCTCCTTATGGCGGCTATGGCGTCTGAACTTTTCACATACACATTTCAGGTAAAAAATTTGTGTGTTTACACAGCAAAATCACTCACCCTTTAAAACTTTTATTGTTTTGAAATATTATTATATAAAAAAATTATATTTCTATATAGGCCGTGTGCGAGTTCAAGTAAATTGAGATAAAGTAAATTGAAATTTCCTAGGAATTTTTTGCACTGCATTTCTGTAAATATTTATTTATTGCACTTATTTACTATTTTTGTTTAAAAGTTTTCAAATTTATTTATTTATTTATTAAACATCTTAAAAATTTTTTACAATGGTAATACCTAATTTACCTAATATTTATATAATTTAACCTACTCGAATTTCTGGTAAATACCATAATTCGCTGCCATACCGACATAATTACTGTTTCTCTCAATCATTTTACTCAAACTCGCACACGGCCATAAAATGGAAATGTACATTAAAAAATGTTTTATTATTTCCCATTATGTAAACAACAATGTAAAAATTTCGCACATATCATAAATTTTTGTTCATTTAATTGTTCATGTTGCATAAATATTTTTTATTAAAATAATTATTTATATAAATATTAATTTAAAAATTCCGTCATTTGAATCTGTTATACATCAGATGTATATATCTTTTCTTATGAATTTGATTTTCTATAATAGAAAATAAACCATCAAGTAAAAATATTTTTTTTTATAGTTAATGATTATTAAAATAATAAAATAAATAAAAATTTGTATTATTATTAGAAATAAAAATAAATCCATTTTCATATATTTTATATATATTTATATATATTCGGCGAACAGATTAGTATTTTAATTAATAATACAATAGTAATAAACAAGTATCACATATATATGGTATATAATATAACTGTTGTCTGCAATTAAAATTACTTTGAAATTTTTAGTAACACATTATTTTTCGCTGTGTACTAAATTTAACATACTGAACATGAGCACAAATATTGTTTGTGTTTTAACCCTTATAATTTAAATTAACCAATAGGAAATCAAATCTCCTTTTCAGTTTTAGTCGCCATTGCGACGCGTCGCAATAGAAGTTTGTAGTGATGTCATAAAAGTAAAAAGATGACATCATATTTTACGTTAAAGTAAAGCGTTACGGTATTGCAAAACGAGCATGATTTCACATTAAAAATAAGATGACGTCCTAAATAAATAAGAATACACAGTCTTAAAAACTATTTAATTAGCTATTAAAAGGTAAAAACGAAATTTGATTTCCTATTGGTTAATTTAAATTCCGAGGGTTAAAAGGCAACAATATTTGAGCTCATGTTCATTATGTTAAATTTAGTACACAGCGAAAAATAATGTGTTACTAAAAATTTCAAAGTAATTTTAATTGCAGACAACAGTTATATTATATACCATATATATGTGATACTTGTTTATTACTATTGTATTATTAATTAAAATACTAATCTGTTCGCCGAATATATATAAATATATATAAAATATATGAAAATGGATTTATTTTTATTTCTAATAATAATACAAATTTTTATTTATTTTATTATTTTAATAATCATTAACTATAAAAAAAAATATTTTTACTTGATGGTTTATTTTCTATTATAGAAAATCAAATTCATAAGAAAAGATATATACATCTGATGTATAACAGATTCAAATGACGGAATTTTTAAATTAATATTTATATAAATAATTATTTTAATAAAAAATATTTATGCAACATGAACAATTAAATGAACAAAAATTTATGATATGTGCGAAATTTTTACATTGTTGTTTACATAATGGGAAATAATAAAACATTTTTTAATGTACATTTCCATTTTATGGCCGTGTGCGAGTTTGAGTAAAATGATTGAGGGAAACAGTAATTATGTCGGTATGGCAGCGAATTATGGTATTTACCAGAAATTCGAGTAGGTTAAATTATATAAATATTAGGTAAATTAGGTATTACCATTGTAAAAAATTTTTAAGATGTTTAATAAATAAATAAATAAATTTGAAAACTTTTAAACAAAAATAGTAAATAAGTGCAATAAATAAATATTTACAGAAATGCAGTGCAAAAAATTCCTAGGAAATTTCAATTTACTTTATCTCAATTTACTTGAACTCGCACACGGCCTATATAGAAATATAATTTTTTTATATAATAATATTTCAAAACAATAAAAGTTTTAAAGGGTGAGTGATTTTGCTGTGTAAACACACAAATTTTTTACCTGAAATGTGTATGTGAAAAGTTCAGACGCCATAGCCGCCATAAGGAGACTGTACCCAGCGGCACCATTATGCCAGCGCTGAAAAAGTAAGCGAGGAGGTAATAGCTCTTCGTTTTTATTTTTCTTTGTTTTCGACATTTGTGTTTGACATAGGCAATTTCGGGGTTGAAATTATAAAAGAATGAAGAAGAAAAGCATATGAGTTAAGAATTTCTTGTTTTGCCTACATTGTATACATTTAGTCTGCTTTTGATTTTAGTGAAGTGCGAACAGTGAACAATTTTTAATTTTTAAAATCAAATAAAAAACAAAAATATAAATAAAATATAATTTGTAATTTCACATAAACTCACTGTAAGTATATGCAAAATTAAGTAAATATATTTAAAATGATAATTGTAATTTTTGTTTTGTATTATGTAGAAGCTACTGCGTCAAGAACGATTAATTGACCAATGTGCTGCGAATGCAGTCATTCTAAAGCAAGAGGTAATCAGCTGTAGTCATGTAGTCAGCTGTTTCAATTGGAAAATTTTACAATTCAAACTGAGGAGGATTTAATTCAATTTAATGAAGAAATCACTGCCGTTGAAGTAGTTGTAAGTTAAATTATATTTGTTTTTTACTTTCAATGTCAACTTATTAATATATTCACATGTAACAATTTTACTAATTCATACATTTCTTTTCATCTATTACGTTATTTATAGACTGCATCAATGAGACGCGTTATTAAAAAACAATCAATTACGCGAAAAATTTCCTGGAATTTTGGAGAATGGTACCCAAGGCAAGAAGTTCTTAAGAGCATTAGAGAATGTGACAGCAGCACTTTTTGGTATGGTATATTGTACATAATTAACTTTAGCGTATACAATAACATACTTTTGTATTTACAGATGCTTTAAGTACAGATGGTAAGCCGGAACAAGTGATCGAGTCGAGTCTGGAAATCTCTTCAAGGTGTTAGTAACAATTTCCAGAAAAATATTCATCTATATAAGTATGTTACATTTTTTTATGTAAATATTAATATTTTAATTGTATAAAACATAAATATAAAATATAATTTATTCAAAAAAATTTATAGTATTTTATTTAAAAATCAATAGCATAGGTAAAATTGAAAATTTAAGCGAACATATCAGCGCTGATATGTTGCATTACAAATTCGAAAAGGTAAGCTAACATGTCAGCGCTGATATGTTGCATTACAAATTCGAAAAAGTAAGCGAACATGTCAGCGCTGATATGTTGCATTACAAATTCGAAAAGGTAATCGAACGATTCAGCGCTTGCCCGCAATGACATGCACGTGTTAAAGTAATTAGGAGTTTCATTTGAATAATCAGCGCTAGGCATTACCATTCAGCGCTGAGGGAATCGATTCCCTCAGCGCTGAAAGTCCCGCTGGGTAAATGCCGATCTCTACACGAATACAAACAAAGGAAAGAGAATGTATACAGACAATGTAAATGCAAAAACTTGAAAACTTCAGTTATTGTTGAGCAAACACCATGGTGAGTCGACGTATTTCCTGTTATAAGAATGTGTTTAACGTGTATTTATAGTTAAAATAAAATTTATGTATAAAAAAGTGTAAAATATAAACTAATTGTCTAATTTTAATTTCTTTTCAGAATCCTTGGAACACCCAAGGCCATTGCGGCTGCTCCGTAAGTAAAATTTATTTGTAAATTTGTTTAATTACGTATGAGCCTTGCAAAAGGCTTAGATATGGGATGAAAGCGTGAATAAAATAAAAAACGTTAGTTGATATTTTATTTTTGGTATTTATTTTATATAGTTGTTTTCTATATAAATATTGAAATGTTGGCAATATTTATGTGGATGGTAACTGTATTAAATCAATTAAGAAAAATAAAAAGCAACTAACACTTTTATTCTGTTCATGTAAGATAAATAATAATTTAAAAAATATTACATATTCTAATAAAAATTATTAGTTCTTATTTGATATATGTTTTTGTTTAAAATTCAATTTAATAAAAATTTTTTATTTCATTTTTTTAGTGCCACCAGAAGAAAATATGTAAGTATCATCCGTATCGAAATTTTTAAAATAAATAAATAGTAAATAAAAATAAAAATTTATTAATTATAACTTTACATTTCAGATAATCAACAAAGGAAAATTATCGCAAAACTTAGACGCGTTTTAAGAAGCCGCACTTGTGGTTCACCATATCAGCATAATGGGCTACAACAACACTATTGTGTGCCTCAATTTCAACAGTCCGGACCGCAACTTCATCAGTTCGGACCGCAACTTCAACAGTGCGGGCCAAACCGTCTGCAATTTCAACAGTTCGGGCCCCAACTTCCGCAACACCAACAATTCGGGCCGCAACTTTCGCAACACCAACAGTTCGAGCCGCAACTTCTGCAACAACAACAGTTCGGGCCGCAGCTTCAACGATGTGGGCCGCAATTTCAACAGTGCGAGCCAGCACCATGGTATCACTACCAAAGTTCACCACAGTGGCAATGGGTACCGTCAGTTGCACTGTACGCAACCGCAGCAATACCATCAGCTGCACCAGTAACACCCTCAGTTGCACCAGAATCAGCATCAGTTGCACCAGCAACACCATCAGTTGCACCAACTGCAGCAAGAACAACCCCAGCAACAATAAAAGAAGAGTGGAATAGTGCAGCAGCAACAGCAACAGTAACAATAAAAGAAGAGTAAAGTTATGTACTTACTTACAGCTGAGCTGGAAAAGAATTTAATTATATTAAAATTATTTTAAATTATAATTAATATATAATATTAAAATATAATATCTGCATTATTATTATTTATAATAATAATTATTAATAATAAATAATTAAATAAAATTATTAACAGAGTATTTGATTTGCTTATTTAACTGGTTCAATTTGAATTTAAACAAATAAAATGGAATAACGAAGTTCTGCATTTGTAAATGATGCTATATACGTACATACATACTACATAGATGCAGTATGTCAAGTATGAGTTTACGCAAGGAAATAAAATTCACTTTTTTAAGTTATAGTCGCAAAAACACTGCTTTTTATTTAAATATAAGGATTGTTAAGGATCAATTTTCAATAATTATTATATTGAGAATGTAAATATAAAAAAGAATTCGGTAGTTTGTTGTAAAATAAACGAAATCTACAACACAAACAAATCCCACATCATTTTCAGACTCAAGTAAGTGATAACACAACTTGTATTTTACCATTATTTTGCATTATTTAAACTATGTGCGGTAAATTTACCGTAATTGGTGCCTTGCGTTGATTCTTGCCTGATATGTTGATATATAATTAGTTATTGTTTTCTAATTTTTTTAATTTATTAACTTAAATATCAATATTTTTTAATGTAAAATGACACAGTAGAATAGTCCAGGTATTATAACCGACACTTGACGAAAAAATGTGTCACAGCTATTAAAAATATTTTACTAATGTGTAAAACTATTTATAATATTTTAAATCTAGCTAAATACGAGAGTAGATTAGAACCGAAGTATAAAATTATCGTTGAGACCAACTTTTACAGCATATACAAAATATGTTATAATGACGAAAATATGAAAATACTGGAAAATTTTGATCAGGATCTATAATAGAGAACTTAGGGAAGAATATATTGTTGTTGTTTCTTATATAACAGAGCGGCGGGCCATAACGCGAAATAAACTCTTTTCAAGTGTTTTTGATAGAAATGTATTGTATTTTGCCCAAAATATTGTTAAGTAATCGATGTTATAATCTTGCATGAGACCTACCGGAGTGTGGTTTAAGGCAGAAGTCTAAGCAGAAGCACTAGGAACTCGGTTTATATAAGGAGACCCAAAAATATTAGAGTAGTTTGGAGTGTCATTTGATAAAAAATGCGAACATATTTGGCAATTTAAAAGCAAAAGTCGCGGTTTAAATATTATCGCCATAATCACTCAAAGCACAAAGCAAATGTTGCTAGGATGCTAGAAATTCCATAAAAAATAATATGGCTGTAATATATCAAAGATACAACAAAGGACGATATTTAATACTTAAAACATTATATGACACTGTTTCCATTGAATAAAGTTTGTATTAGGGAACTTTATATTATTTGTGCAAACAGTTACTTGACAAAAAATAAAGTCAAAAAGTGATGTTGGATTTGTTTTTGTTGTAGATTCCGTTTATTTTACAACAAACTATTGAAATTTTTTTTATATTCATATTCTCAATTTAATAATTATTGAAAATTAATTATCAAAAATCTTTATATTTGAACAAAAAACAGTCTTTTTGCGATTATAACTTAAAAAAGTGAATTTTAATTCAATGTGTAAACTCATTCTTGACATACTGTATATAACTTAAAACCAAAATATATGTATGTACATATGTATGTAATTTATTTAAGCAATTTGTAAATTATAAGCGTTTTTATAATTGGGTTTTATGATCTTTATTTCAATTTCTTTAACACAATGTAAATTATAAACGTTTTTATAATTGGGTTTTGATTTCATTTAATTTATACAATTGAATTTATACAATTTCGGTTATTGATTGTTTAATCACTTTTTTATGTGTACCCGTGTGTTGACACGTTCGCGATCGAAAAACAAGAGAGAGAATCAAACCAACGGAGTTTACTTGCAGCCAAAAAATATAACAATAAAATTTGCTCATCTCGAGCGCAAAAAACAAAAGGCAATAAAACAAGACTTAGAACCGTTGGTTTGATTACATCTTATACAGGGTTAGTTAGGTAAATTAATTAACCATATATTAACCATATAAAATATTATATATATATATGAATTATATAATATATTAATTATAATAATTTAATTATACAATATGATTTACAATAGATTAAAATATAATAAATTATAATATATAAATCATATAACACTTCAATTAATAATTCTACAGAATCCTACAATATTAACAATTTGACTTTAACCGCTCTAACATCCCGCCCCCCTTGAAAGGATTTTCAATTGGTAATAGTGCGAGTTTGTGGATTGGACGCCGTATTACTCCTTTTGGGGTTTGCACATCAACAACACGAACCAAATTATCTGGACCCCTGATGCAATGCACGATTCGGCCCATCAACCAGCGTTGTGGAGGCATATTGTCTTCATGGATTAAAACCAGAGCCCCCTCGGTGATGTTAGATTGTTCTTCTGTCCATTTGGTGCGTATCTGCAGCTCATTCAGATAGTCTCTAGACCATCTGCGCCAGAAGTGATGTTTGACTGCGGTTATACGAGACCATTTATCAATTAATGAAGCAGCTTCATACTGAGGACTTGGTTCAGATAAAGTTTTGAGCGGCCCACCGATAAGAAAATGTGCTGGCGTTAGCGCTTCATAATCGCTCGGGTCACAAGAATGAGGTGTGATTGGTCGCGAATTTAAGATAGCTTCGATTTCAATCAGTGCTGTTCCAAGCTCCTCAAAGGTGAATCGAGTATTTGATAGTGTTCGATACAGATGGCCTTTCGCGCTTTTTACAGCCGCTTCCCATAGACCTCCAAAGTGAGGTGCTCGGGGCGGTATAAAATTGAAATTTATGAATTGGTTGCTGCAAAAGGTCTGCAGCATCACTTGATTAGACTTCTCGAAAAACATTCTTTTTAACTCTGCTAGTTTATTGTTAGCCCCAACGAAGTTCGTGGCGTTGTCGCAATAGATGTCTGATGGTAACCCTCGTCTACCGATTAACCTTTTCAGTGCTGCAATAAATGCCTCCGTAGATAAGTCTGACACGGCTTCTAGATGAGCTGCCTTTGTAGACAAACAAACGAACACGGCTATATAGGTCTTATATGGAACCCGTCCCCGAATTCGGAGATACGTTAATATCGGACCGCAAAAATCTACCGCAGTACGCGCGAATGGACGGCTTGGAGTGAGGCGTTCGATTGGGAGATTACCCATCATTTGATTAAGTAGTTTGGGTTTATAACGCACGCAGTGAATACACGAGTGCACGACTCGGCATGCAATTTCTCGAATATTAATTATCCAGAAGTTTAGTCGAGTAAGGGCAATTAGTGCTTTTGCGCCTGCATGATAGTTGCACAAGTGTATATGCCGAACATAAAGTTCCACAAAATAACAGCCCTTCGGCAACAAAATAGGGTGACGTTGGCCTACTGAGATGTCACTCAGCTCGAGGCGACCTCCCACCTTTAGTAATTGATAACCGAATACATTGTCCAGGAAGGGATTTAGATGCTTTAATGTACCTTCGGCTGGGTTCCCTCGTTGTAGGCGTTGTATATCAATTTCGAAGAATTGCTGTTGGATGACCCAAATAATACAGTGCAATGTCTTTTGTAGCTGAATAGGTTGGAGGGTACATTCTCCGTTCTTCAATTTATTCTTGGTTACATGATAAAAACGCTGTACCTGCGCTATTACTCGTAGCATCTTAGTGTATGAACTATATCTTGACAATACCTGTAATACGTAGTTGTCTTCATTTGTGTTAACGAATACAACCTTTCGCGTCTCTTTATTGACTTCTTCCATATCCAGGTTGTGACATTTCAAATGCGGCCAGTATTTATCAGCGAGTAACAAAAATTCCGGCCCCGTAAACCAACAAGACTCTGATAATTGGCGGATGTTACAGCCGCGCGACACAACATCTGCCGGGTTGGATTGGGTAGGAACGTGTCTCCATTGCCCATTTGCGGTAATATCTTGAATTTCCGCTACTCGATTGCCAACGAATGCAGACAGGGTTGATGAGTGCTGCTTCAACCAATGTAATACAATCTGTGAATCAGTCCAAAAAAACGTTTCACCCTTAAATTGCGCAAATATTGGTTGGACCTTCTGATACAGTTTGGCAAGAAGTAAGGCACCACAGAGTTCTAGTTTAGGTAGCGACTTCCGCTTTATAGGTGCCACACGGGATTTTGCAGTGAATAGCCTGACCGTCACCTTACCTGATGTGTTTTGTGATCGGAGAAATATACAGCAACCATATGCGCGTATTGAAGCGTCACAGAAACCGTGTACATCAACCTGTTGATAGTTTATGGATAGGCAGTACCTCGGCACCTTAACCGATGAAAGCGTTGTAAGATCTTGAATAAATGTTTTCCAAGCTGAGTGAAGATTTTGAGGGACTGACTCGTCCCAGTCCACACGCAAAAGCCACAATTCTTGCATCATAATTTTGGCTACGAGTATGATCGGTGCTAGTAATCCAAGCGGGTCGAATAATGAAGACGCAAGGGATAAGATGGTGCGTTTTGTTACAATATGACCTGGTTGTGCATTAAACGAAAATAGGAAAACATCTTGCATTTGGTGCCACTTGATGCCTAGAGCGCTGGTGACTGTATCTGTATCAAGATTCAAACTCTTTGTTGTAGTATCGCTGATGAAGTCATGATGGTTTGAATGCCATTTGTCAAGATCGAAGCAACCCTTCTGTAGAATGGCCGTTAACTGATGTCTGATATTGGTGAGTTGATCAATGGAATCTGCTCCACCTAAGAAGTCGTCGACAAAGAACGCTGATTTAATGAGTGCAGCGCCTATTGGGTATTGTGTTTCAAATTTGTCCGCCAAATACTGCAAACTCCTGGTTGCTAGGAAAGGTGCTGATGCAGTACCATAAGTGACTGTATTCAACTCGTAAGTACTAACAGGATCGGACTCCGTATCTCGCCAAAAAATATATTGGAATTTTCGATCTGGTTCATCTATCAGTATCTGTCGGTACATCTTAACAATGTCAGCCGTCAAGGCATATCGGTGCAAACGAAATTGAAGTAG